GACGTCATGGACACCGACGAGGCCGTTCCGCCGCCGTCGAAGCGGTCGGCGCTGCCTTCGTAGGAGAATCCGGACAAGCCGGCCGCATTCGGGCGGCCGAGCTACGACGGCGTGATCGCCGGGAAGGTGTCCGGGCGGAAGTGGAAGCAGGTGCGGGAGCGGGGGGCGTCTGCAGCGCTGGCGAGCCGGAAGGGGACGACGTTCGAGCATAGAGAGAAGGAGAAGATGATAAAGAAGGCGTACAAGGAGAGGATGACGGAGCTGAAGGTGGAGATTCGGTTGAACAAGGTGGAGAAGAGGAAAAAGAAAGAAGAGAGGGAGAAGAAGAAGCAGGAGAATATTATCAAATCTGGAACCAAGTTCCAGAAGATTACAAACCCTAATACTTTGAAGAAGATTGCAAAATCTAAACAGAGGAAACAGCTTAGGGTTAGGGTTGTTCCCGATGAATTGCTTAGGAAATAGACAGTATATAATTTCTTTTTTAATTTTTCAATTCGGTTTTTATATATTGCCTTTTGGTGGATAATTTTGTAGTATTCAGATTTCAATTGATGCTTAATATACAAGCTCGTTTTGTCGTAAAAAAAAAAAAATACTGGAAAACACAATATATATATATATCATATGTTAGTTACTACCATTTCCAATTATTATTAAGCATTATCCCATTATTTCAGATCCAAGCCATCCGACACAAATCTGATGACATAAAAACAGAAGAAAGAAAAAATGGCAAGTTGCCATGTTTGTCACTCCAAATCAGTTCAAGACTGAACATGAAAAATTACGATTAGAAATTGAATATGCATGAATAGATTCAACTATTACCTTGGCGTTGGAGTCGAAGCCAGAAGTGCATTCGAAGTGGACATGGCTGCCTGCACTTTCTCTTTCTCCTCCTACACTTTGAGCACAATGAAATTTTTTTGATGATGTGAAATGATGTACGTATATATAATTTTATAAATGCCATGAGATGGTCAGGTTAGAATAAAAAATCTGCACTATTCATCCGTGGGTTCCTCGTGTTTGTATAAATATAATTCTACGTACATCATTAAAGCAGAATTATGAAGCAGCTTAATAAATCTGTAATCGCCATGACTGCATTAAACACAATTCTGCTTTTATAAATCCGAACGTGCGCACATTCCACGAGTTAGTATAAAATATGGATCAAAACTGACGTATCAAACTTTTACGTTTACATATGGGTTCTATACATGGTCAACTTCTCTCTGTTAATTAATAGATAACGGAATTAACAAGTTTCATTATGTACTTTTCGTATTTTTATTTATATCTAATTATTTGATTCTCTCAATTTTATTAATCAAGTTTACATATGGGTTCTATTATCAACTTCTCTCATATTGTTAATTAATAGATAAGGGTATTAACAAGTGTCATTATGTACTTTTTCTATTTTTCTTTATATTTAATTATTTGATTCTCTCAATTTTATTAATCAAGTTTATATATGGGGTTCTATTGTCAGCTTCTCTCATTGTTAAATAATAGATAAGGGTATTAACCAGCTTATTATGTACTTTTTTTTTCTTTCTATTTTTTATTATGTTCAATTATTTGATTCTCTTTGTTTTATTAATCAGGATTGTTCTTTTCCTAAGTTCATTGTCATCGTTAAGATCATCGCATCTAAGGTATTGTCCGCTTTAGCGCTCGTTAGGCTATCACAGTTTTGTCCTTTAAAAAACATCTCGGTAAGTTAAGGAGAGAGGATGTTTATAAACTACCCTTAGCCTCAACTCCTAAGTAATGTGAGACTTTTAGGCATACCGAAACAAGTCTCCCAGTCGATGCTAAGGAGTAAGAGTGGCCTAAGCCCTCCTTCTAACGCCAAATATTCCTACTGTAAGTTCACTGGCATAGTTAGGGTTACCGTATCCGAGGTATTGTCCGCTTTGGCGCTCGTTGGGACGTCACGATTTTGTCCTTTAAAAGGCACTTCGGTAAGTTAAGGAGGGAAGGTGTTTATAAACTACCCTTAGCCTCGACTCCTACAAAGCTAAATTCAAACTCGACCCTTAGTAACCATGAATTATGAAAACCAAATTCAATATTAATATCATAAGGTCGATATTGGACATAAAGTTCAAATACATCATAACCAAATTAAGCTCTATCATTTGTAAATATTTTAGGTATTTCCTTTGGCGCAAGTTTTGTTTAAGGGGTACCAAAACCTTTTGTGACTAGGACCACATAAATAATGACATGTGTTAATTTTGTCAGAACTTTTATTTTTTAAGAATTTGTTAAAATTTGTTATTTCACCCTCATTAATTTATAACATTTTAAATAATAACCCTCAACCAATTTCAATATACTTTATCTTCTTCATCTCCCTACCCATTTTATTTTCATTTTTTCTATTTCTGCTCACCTCCCATCAGCTATTCACCCCAATGTCAAGGTCCCTATAATTCAAGAACGTGTTTCTAGGGCTCTTGGACACAAAAGGGGTCATGTAATTGTACAACCTCTTAGCCTCGTTCGTGAAATTCATAGCCGCACCAGGGGAAGGATCTTCCCAATTCACAGAGTATTGAATTTTGAATAAGTTCCCCTTATGGTGAGGAAACGGCGTCGCATCGGAGGCAATCTCCCCCATTTTTCTCCATAGGGGTTAAACACAAGCCCCGTTTTCCCCAACTCGATCATCCTCTTCCATAACCACTCCAACTCGTCACGTGAAATGGCGTTCTGAACATAATCAGATTTTCTTGTAGGTTTTAGAGCACCGGATGGGAGGTGAGTGGAAAGAGAAAAAATGAAAATGAAAAGGGTACGGAGATGAAGAAGATAAAATATATTTAAATAGATTGAGGGTTATTATTTAAAATGTTATAAATTAATGAGGGTTAAATAAAAAATATTAAAAAAAATTTAAAAATAAAAATATTGATAAAATTAACACATGTCATTGTTTATGTGGTCTTAGTCACAGAGAGTTTTGATACCTCCTAAACAAAATTTGCACCAAAGGAAATGCCAATATTTTAAGCTGTTTTATTTTTCCAAAGCTCAGAGTTTGAGGGGCTTGTGTACGATCCAAAAAGATAAGGTAACTAACTAACCACCAATCTCATAAATAACTACCTTCTCAATAGGTAACCACCTATCTCACAAAAGTATAGATTGATTTCGATTTTTTTAATTTGGAATTTTAATGAACCATTGACTAACTTGATTGTTGGAGTCCTCTTTGCATGTACTAAACCAGTTTTTCCAGAGAGAACTCAAAGAAGGGGATCAGAATCAAAAGAGATCAAAATGAAAGGTAAATATCAAGAACTTCATCTTAAGAAAAGATTGGAGATCCACATACTCAGATCTTGCTATCTTTTGGTAAGAACAAGGATGATCAAGGATGAGAATAAATTATAAAAAAAAAATTTATAAGCCTGATTATAGTCTTTTTAAATAAATACACTTTTTTGAAAATTTAAACCTGATATTTTTATTAAATATTCCCCTCATTTGTATATATAAGAAACATAGGACGACAATCACACAGATAAAAAAATGTCATTTAAATTGTTAATTATAATTAATATATCTTAAATTTAAATTTTATTATTAAAATATCTATACAATTAAATGCTTTAATGACACAAATTGTATTTATCCTTATTTCAAGCCACTAGGTTTTCTCGGGATATCATTAATTCAGTTGCAGAATTAATTCAGCAATTGGCATATTGAATATTTAAAAAAAGAAATTTGCCAAATTGTCGAAAAAATGATTTCCCACCAGATTTTTCCATCTCTCTTTTAAGTGAATTTCAAATTATACTTAAATTTCAAATCCTAAAATTCTTATACCCCATCACCGTTCCATATCTCGTACAGCCAGAGGCTCCCAACTTTGTTCCTTGCTGCATCACTCATATATGGTGAAAAATGCTAATAGATATAGACTTGCATGTTGTACCATCTAGCACCAGTGAAGAACTTCTTTTAGAAAGCAATAGCTTATCAACATTACATGAAGGAGCATGTCATGATGAATGTGAAGATCACATTAATTTAAACCAGTCCCCATCCTTCCATGTTGAAGATGATGCAAACCAATTTCTTCCTTACTTTAATGAAGATGTTGAACAGATTGAGTTAAACCAGGACTCTTCCTTCCCAGATCAAGATGAAGGAACTCATGTTGATATTAGCCTGAATGATGACATGAAGGTTAGTACATTTCCTCCTTGTTTCATGTGAAGATGTTTGGTTAAAAGTCTATCAAATTTATACTTGTTTTGTAGTTCATTTAAACCCAATCTATTTATTAGAGTCGTCAAAATGGGTCGTGGCTCATGGGCTAACTCGACCCATCTTAAAAACGGGCTGGATTGGGTTAAAATAAATAAAAATTTTATAATAAGTGAGTATATTTCAACCTGACTCACTTTTACCTAACCCACCAGAGTTGAACCCGTGGTGGACTGGGCAGCCCACCAATCCATCATTTTTTTTACAATTGAAATTTGATTATGGATTATAGTTAATTGTGTATGATGGGACATTAAAATTTTTGATTTTAGACTTTTATCGTAGTTTGTATTTAATTTTTTATGATAAGTTATGACTTATGACTATTAGTGATGCTAATTTTATGACTATTATGTTAATTTAGAGTTAATTTGAAATTTTGAATTTTGTTGATAATATTTTTAAGTTTTTGGTGGGTTAGTGGGCTGGTCTGTTTGACCCATCAACCCGTGGTGGGTCGGTCCAGGCTAGGAAAATTTTGAGAAAATCAAAAGTGGATCGGATTGGGTTGGCCAATTTTTAAGGTGGGTCAAGGTGGGCTAGCCCACATGGACCGGACTGACCCATTTTAACAGCTCTAATATTTACTTTTAATTTTATTTTTGTTTTGATTATTTTTACATATATGGTGATAGGAGAACCAAGTTCCAAAAAGCGTTGCTTTCTTACAAATGAACAAAGGAAGTCTATCTGTCATTTGTTACTACATTCAAGTGAAAATGGCAATCTAAAGCGAGGAACAATAGTACGAGTGGCATCATTATACAATAAGTTGGGGATCACACACGCACTCACACGCACAATTGCAAGAGAGAAAGTAAATTAACAAGACACAGAGATTTACGTGGTTCGGTCAGAATAACCTACGTCCATGACCGCACTAGATCGATGGTATTTCCTATTTCATAATTAGGTTTACAATTATATGAGTATTTATAAAAAAAGAAAGAAAGCAAATGGGCCAAGCCCAATAAACCCTTTAGACTCTACACACTCAACAATCTCCCACTTGGAGGCTGATCACATCAATTGCACTCCAAAGTAAATCTAGTAAACCTCAAAACCGTAACACCTCCAAGCTAGTGCGACGCCTTCTCAACAATTAATCATGAAGGCCAATTGAAGCTATGAAAAGTTTCAACTTCTCAATAGTAACCACCTTGGTCAACATATTTGCAAGATGCTCGGACCCAGGGATCTTCTTCAAGAACAAAGTATCATCACTGATTAGTCCTCTAATGAAATGGTATCTCAACTGGATGTGCTTTGTCTTCGCATGAAACATAGGATTCTTTGCGAGATAAACGACACTATGATTATCACTATAAAGAGCATTGTCAGACTACTTCTTGCCCAACTCTTCAAGAAAATTCTTCAATCAAATCATTTCTTTACCAGCTTCTAAAATAGCCACTACAAAAAATATGTAATTTAGTGACCACCAAAATCGGTTGCTAAGTTGCTAAAATCGGTCGCTATTTACCTTAGTGACCGAATTTAATCAGTCGCTAAAACCCTGGTCGCTAAGCTATTTAGCGATAGAAAAATTTTCGGTTGCTATTTAGCGGCTGAAAACTTCGGTCGCTAATTCGGTCGCAAAATGGTTGCAATGATTTTG